CTTCGCTGGGCTACACCATTTGATCCGCCAAATCATCTTGTACCGCCGTGGCTATAACTTCACGGGACGCGCCGCCCGACCTCCTCTCGTCGGGAAGACTTTCAACACAAGGCACCACCTGCGGATCCTCTTTTTTTGGTCTTGGTCCTATTGTTGCACCGTCACACCGAGATTTTTCCACACTGCAAAGTCCGCTGCTCATGCCCGCACGAACCTGGGCTCTGATACCACATGTTGGGACTGTGCGTGCCCTCACCCCAACCCCGCATTAGTATGATATTGTCCGCTCTGGGCCAAGCCCTCACGGATTTGTTTTTGGGCACCTCCCAAAAGGCCTCATACTAATGGGGTTGGGTGAACCTATATATTTTGGTTCATTTACTCCTACTCATCCGGTGTGGGACTTGGAGGAATCCCAACACGAGGTTGGGGCAAAGAGGGAATCTTTAGGTGCAGAATCAATCTTTAGGTTTTCAAGTTCAGAAAGTGGGGCGAACGAGTTGAGGAAGAAAAGTGAGTGTGGGTCTGGAAGGAATAATGGGAAACTGGAGGGGTTTAAGAGAAATGGTGGTGGGAGAAGAGTGGTCAAGAAGTGTGGGTTCAACAAGGGGTTGGAGAAGAAGTTCTATGTCTGCTTGAAGAAGAGAAGAATTAGCAGATGTGCCCCTGGAAAATGCGACAAATGCTCTTCCAAAGGTTAGATCTTTTCCAAATTCCAATCTTCAATGCTGTTTTCTGTTTATTATCTTTGTTGCTTGAAGTTACTTTCAATGTTTGTTTCATTCGTTTTGAAACCTGATAATTTATCTATGGACTGTACATTGCTTAGTTTGTAACTTGTGGTTTTTGCACTATTAGAGGGAGGAAAGAAAATGTGACAGGATTCTTTTTGTTAAAAAAGCTTCAAACTCAACACATTGAATATCAATTTCAAATGCTTGTTCAAAAGCTTATACTAATTTTATCTAAATCTTTTTTAATTTCTTAAATGCCTAGGAAATTTAAGTTTGTAAGTTTTGAAAAAGTTTTAATCAAATTTTATTTTCCCTTTTTCCCTGCGATTTCCCGACTCCCAAACGTAGTTGATAGTCTTAGTTCATGAGGTTATCTAGCAGGAAACTCAATATTTGGATGGGGTGTTGGCATTGGAATGATGTGCATGATGTCAGCCCAGAGAGGCGAAATCAATGAGCTAAACATTGCAATAGCCGAAACCTCAAAGGCTGTTGAGGAATTGAAGGATCAAATTTCTCAAAGAAGAACTTCTAAACCCGGGCTTGGAACGATAATCTCAGAGGATGAAACCTCAAAGCTGGTTAAGTCATGCGCTGAGAACCACGACGATGACAAAAGAATCTTTGCCTTTCCTGTTAGTGAGGAAGGTGAATATGCAAGTAGTGTTCTTACGGATGAAATGCATCCGGATGCAATGGAAATGAATCTGCTCCAAGCTGAGCTTCAATCTGAACTTCAGAAACTCCATGGGTGTGTCTCAGATGGTTCTTGCTTTGGAGTAAGTGCAGAGATTTCTGATGTGGAGATTATTCCCATATAGTTACACTGCAAATATGAAATCTTGCTCAAAATGACACAATATTCTTGACAGCAGGGAGCTTTGGGTGAAGGGTTTCATTATCAGCAAGAGGGTATGAATGATTTGAACGCGCACCAATCCAACAGAGTGATTCCCTCTGAGCTGCACCAAAAGTTGAGCCAAGTACTGATTGAACAACAGGAAAGCCAGATAGTGGAATTAGAGTCCGAGCTGCGAAACTCCCACCACAAACTCCATCAGAAAGAATCCGAGCTCCAAGCACTCAAGGACTGCGTTCGTCGTCTCACTGATTTCTCAATAGCCACTGATTCAGGTTCCCGCTGCATTGTCATCTTTAATGAGACATATTAATCTCTCTAGTACTTAAGCATGTTGTGATCATCTTTGTACACATTGATGCGTGTGTTTTGTTGATTTTCACAGACGAAGAGACGGAGGGCAACCAAGAACGTTCGAGGTTCATTTTTGACGATGAAGAGAAGAAGCAGGCTTTGAGTTCTGAGTTTAGGAAACCAGCAATGGTTGGGAATAAAAGAGCATCAATGGAGTTTTGAGTAAACATTAGGTTCAATTCAAAGTTAGTTGACTCTTCTTCTTTTTTGGTTTGAGAGACTCATCACTTATGCAGTATGTAATAGGTTGACAAATAGAGACAATCATACATTGATACATATTCTGTATTCTTGAACTTTTTAAAATGTTGCATCAATGGTCCATCTGTTAAGAAGAGTGCCACAAATGCCAGCTGTACACTTTCCAGTTGTAATTTGTAACTAATTTTTGTTGCTTTTCTTTTCTTTCACTGAGTTTGTTTTTCCTTTGGGTTGCATATATATAGTAGTCCTCTTGCTTGCAACAGACCAGATTTTTCCATTCCCATAATAAGATTTGTTCTTCTTCTTCATCTCTCTCTTGAGTTTCTGATGTTTTAACACCATTTGTGTCAAATTTGGTAATGCGTTAATCACACGCTCATTAACACACACACATATATATATATGAAGATGCCATGGATTGATGAAGAGTTTGTGATTAATGTACTTTCAGATATGGCACAAAGAAACTAGACACAATGTTTTGAAAAGTTCAAAGACCATTGATGCAAATTTCAAATTTAGTAGAAATTCACGCAATTTTTAAAGAGTTCGAGGGGAGTGACATAAAAAACTCTAAATTTTATATTCTTCACTTCTACGTAACATTAAAAGTGGTTTGTCATGCCAAGACTAATTGAACTAAAAGATGGTTTTGTAAAACAAAAACCATTGTAAAAGATGATTTCTTAAAAAGAAAATTATAAAATGTGTTTTTTATATATAAAAAGACCAAACATAAACTCCGATTTATATAAATTTATTTTAAAAGACGGGTCTCTTAGAACTTAGAAGATACAAGACATAAATTGATAAAAGGGTTTTTCTCCCATGCTTTCTTATTTCAAAGGGCATGGATGCCCTTCCTTTTAAATAATGACATGTGGACAAATAATAATGAAAGTATTCTACAAAGTTTAATATGGAGCATAGTTAGTTTCAATATTTGCAAAATGCTCTCTTCTTTTTTAAAAATTTTAAATGAAATTTCAATTGAATTTTTAATTTATTAAAAATATTTTATCACAATAGTAATAATAATAATAATTGTGTTTGGTTCTATTGAAAATTAAAATAAAAAACGTTTTTGTACATACTTATTTTAATATTATCCCATATGTATTTATTTAAAAATAATAATATTGTTATATTCCGCGTCCGATCATGCTTTTTATACTCTATCCATCCCAAAATTATCATTATATTTCAAACGTGAAAAATTGTATATATTTCCAAATAATAATATTTATTTAATCATATAGAAATAAAAACTATAACTTATATATATTCAAAAACGACATCAAAAGTTTTACAAAGCAAGTGGTGACATGTTTATTTTATTTTATCAAATGATCAACACAATGAATGCACACACATACAAAATATTGGGGTGTTTGAATTACATTTTGAATATTACGAAAATTTAATTTTGTCTAAAATATTTAGCAGAGTTTCAACGTAAGATTGTATATTTTGTAGAGTTTTGTCAAAAAATTCCCATGAAGAATATTTCATTAGTATTTTAATTTTGGCAGTTACTACTACCAAAAATTTTAAATTAAAAATAATTAATTTCAAATTTTGAATTATAATCACTTTCGTCAAAAGCCCTTTGAATTTTGTAAAGCTCCAAAATTTGGTCTATCAATTCATAATCACTACCTTCGCCCTTGAGTATTTGTCCAACTTTGATTTTTTTCTAGTAAAAAGAATCGATAATAAAAATTAATTTGGGATATTAGTTTGATATAAATAATATCTAAAAAATATTTTACAAGATAAATCTATCTAATAAAATTATTCTTGAATAAATATCTGATATAATTTTATTTAATTAATGTTTAAAGTTTATCTATTTTTATTGTAAAAAGTTAAAACTATACAAATACTTATAGACGAAGGTAGTAATTAAATATAATTAGGTTTTAATTAAGATGGCCAGATTATATTTTTGAAGTATTAATAAAGATTAAACTATGAGTAAAACATAGTGAACATACAAAATATGATTTCCATATTTCATTTCTAAATAAGAAGTTTTAGCAATGATGTCAATATATAATATCAAAAATACTTGTAGAATGCCGATATACAATATCAGATTATTACTGTACAAAAGTGGACAAATACTTCAAGAAAGAGATAGTATTTTGGAGATAAATATTTTACTTTTATTTTGAGTGATTTGTTAAAGAAGGAAAAAATAATAAATGGTGGATTAAATAATTGATAAGACTAATGTGTGCCATTTACTCATTTAGAGGGAGCATTTTGCAACTTTTGAAATTAACGTTGCTCCATATTAAACTTTGTGGAATGCTCCATACATTTAACTCTCTTTATTTTTGTCCACATGTCACTATTTAAATGGAAAGACATCCATGTCCTTTGAAATAAGAAGGCATGGGAGAAAAACCCTTGATAAAAAGGTGGTTTGTCCAAAAAACTTCAATGCGATTTGCCTGGGTTTGAAAATGAAGAATACATTATCTATTTTTGGACAGTAGGTGCGGCATTAAATAAATTTGAATAAATTTCATAACTAATTCTTTATAACTCAAGATTTTCTATGTAAAGTTCTGAACTTAAAGATGTTACACATGTGACTATTGATATTTGAAAACTACTCCATTGTCTTTTGGGAACTATATATGAAAAACAATACTTCATATTTGGATTAAAAGACTAATTATGAAATAATTCTCAAGTATAGAATAACACTTGGATAATATATTAAAATGGAAACTAAATTTGAGAAATCCCTTGTTATCAAGAATTATTTATTTTTGGAATGGAATTTACTCAATAAAGTTATCCATTGCATAAAATTTATGCCTTTTTCTAGTAATTTTTTCGGGCACTACTTCTCGAAGGCTACAATTAGGCTATATTTGATTGAAAGAATTCAAACTATGGAATTGAAATTGAGAACAACAAATCAAAGTATTTTGTTTGGTAGTACAAAAATATGTGGATTTGTAATTGATAGTGCAAACATGAATTGGAATTGGAAAATACAATCCCATCCAAATCAATTCCATTGAATTTTAATTTCCAATTCCAATTATGTTAATTCCGTGTACCAAACAAACCCTTAGTGTACATATTTCACCTAAAATAGTTCTAATATTTTTTATTGCCGTTTTTATAATTTTTTTAAATTTGTGTTTAGAGTAAATGGTAAGTAAATTTGGGTGTAGAGTAAATGGTAAGTAAATTGGTGTTCAAATTTAGCAGGAAATCGCGCTCTTAATGGGTAAATGGGAACCATCGGTAAATAATTAATTTGTTAACTAATAACGTCAAAAAGAATTGTTAACTAATATATATGCACGAATGTATTTTAGAAATTAAATGCATTATTGAACTTTCTCCAAAATTAGCGATAATATTTTTACATATAAATATGGCCAGCTAATTCCCACATAACGATTCACCATAAAATAAAATATATAATTGAGAAGAAGAATATAATAATATAATGAAGATGGGTAAAGCTTTCGTTGGGTGCTTCTTCTTTGCAGTCATCAGCCTTGCTTTCATTTCTAACATTGGTAACTTTCAAAACAAATAATACTATTTCTATATTTGTCCAGTTTGAATTTCTCAAGTCAAATTAAATAAATTTTGAACTTCAATCACAATGATTCAGTATTGTACTTCTTTTGTTTCATAAAACGGTTCATATTTTGACTTTTAAGCGAAATAAGGGGTGTATATTTGTGATTGACTTTCCAATTTTGTCCTTGAAGTGACAGGTAAAAGTAAGATGTGATTGGTAAATTATTAGTGAAAAAAGTATGATGTGATAGATAGGGCAATAAAAAAATAAGAGTAAAAAAGTGATTTTTTTTAAATGAAAACGGAAGTGTTTTAGGAAAAACAAAAAAAAATGAAAGATGTAGTGCTTTAAGAAACGAAGATTGTATATTAATACAAAGAAATAAAATTTTGAAAGATATCAGCAAGATAAATCTAATAAAATTATTTCTATATTAAAATACATTGCAATTTTTGTTTGATTGGAGTTCAAAATTTATCTAGTTTGATTTGAAAAAGTCAAACTAGACAAATACATTATGGAAGATAGATAAAATATGCCTTGTATTTTTGTGTTGAAATTGTGAAGGTAATTGATTTATTCTATATTTTTTTTTTTAAATAGGGGTAACGGAGGGAGGACTAGACCCATTGTGTAATTGGGCATGTGACCCAAAGATAGGGGACTGCGCCACACTTTGTAAGAAGGAGGGGTACCCTAAAGGTGGCGTTTGCCGGCCGCCTAGAGGGGCCTACAAAGGATTTCCTCCCGGTTGCTGCTGCCTCCCTTGATTTTCCTTTTTTTTTTTTATTTTTGTTACGTACTTTTTACATTATTTAAGCTAGGGGTACACCAACATAGGGTACCCCAAGTGTACACCAAAGCCAACAAAGACACACACAGACACAAAGTGTCTGTGTTGCACAGACATTTTGTGTCTGTGTTAGCTTGGTGTACATTTGGGGTACCCCATGTTGGTGTACCCCTGGCATTGCCATTTATAATTTATGCGCATTTTTTTTCTTGTAATCGTAATTTTAGTTGTTTTACTTCTGCATTTGGATGAATTATTTACTTCTGCATCCCTTTGATATTGGGTCGAGTGTGTTTGGAAGAGCTAATTAAACGCGGGTTGGGTCGAGATGGGCACCCGTTTTGGTCACTCTTATTAAACCCAAACCGGCTAGAAACAAAAATTAGGCACTGTTTGGAATTCAAACTGTGTAATTAGAATTGGAGATAATAATTCTAATTTTGTTGTTTGGTGGTATAAAAATGTGTAAATTTGGAATTAGGAGTGCCAAAAATGAATTGGAAGTGGAGAACTCAATTCTATCTAAAGCAATTCTATAGAATTTGAACTTTCAATTCTGTTAATTATGTGTAGCAAACGAACCCTTAGTCATTAGGGGTTTGGGGTGGTGGACGGTGGACCGTATAAATGATACTTATAATTGAGTCATTTTTTTATTTCTTAAATGACGGTGGACATTTACTTGAACAATGTCTAGTGGCGATGGACATTTGCTTGAACAATGTTGAGTGGACATTGAACAGTAGTACTACATTGAATAATTAAAACATACGGTACTATATTGGAAAACCCACTGTATTTTAGTCCTATATATAGGTAAATTCCTCATTGAAAAGTTGGGAGAAGTTGAAAATGTTACGAAAAATAAAGTGTTCAAAAATTGTATAAATAGTGATCACCCAAATAAGTTTGTAAAAAATTAATTTTAGATATTTTTATGTTTATACGTGTTTGAGATGATATGTTATAAATTTAGATATATGATTTTGTTGTATATTTATCATACGTAAATAGAATTTTTAAGATATTGGAAGAAAGAGAAAGGAAAAACTTAAAAGAAACTAAAGTAATTGAAAGAAACGATAAGAAATGGGAAAAAGTTGAACATTAACTTTTTCAAACTAAAAACGATACCTAAACTAGCGAAAACATTAATTAGTTTAATTTACTCAGTTTTGCATTTTTCAAAACAGAACAAAAAATAAATAAATCGTGCATTGATTATTCAACAAAATTGAACCAAAACAGTGTAGCAGAATGATACGGAGTAAAAAGTATCAAAATGCAAATTGCCCACAGAAAAAATAAATCACCCCAAATAGAAGTAAAACATAGAGAAAATAAGGTGAGGTTCTAGTGCCACTGGAATACGGTGCCACTCCAGTGGCACTAGAACCCCACCCGAGAAAATATTAAAATAAAAGCTTCATATTTTTATTTTCTAAGGAGCTGTTTGACAACTTCTGAATAAGTAAGTGCTGAACCAGTAAGAGGTCTGAACCATTAAGAGCTAGTATATTGCTTAACTATTCGGAGGTAAATGTATGATCAATTCAGATAAGAGGTTTTAACCATTCAGACTCTGTATAATACTTAACCATTCAGAAGCAAATCTCTTAACCATTCAGACATTTGAACCATTAAGAGGCTGAAACAAACAGTCTGAACCATTAAATGCTGAACCATTCAGACATCTGAACCATTAAGAGGCTGAAACAAACAGCCCCTAAGTAAGAGTTTGCGCAGTGGTATTGTGCAGTGACAATACACATGAACATTTCAATATACTTTTGGTATTGTAAATGAGCATGATTGACACTATAAATGTATTTTAATTTCTATATCGAGAATAAAACATAAAAATTCTATTTTGATATTTTTTAATATTTTACTTATATTTTAATCTTTTTGGTCGAGGAAAATGCATAGAATGAAAACTACCAGAGGTAGGTACCCCAATAGTTTTTTCACTATCCATTTATTGATTGGAGAAAAAATGTAAAATGAATAAAAATGTAATATTAAAAAAATTTATGGTGTATAAATAGAGTGAACATTTGGTATATCTCTACCATTACTCACTCATAAGTCATACTACGTAATACACTATGACCATGTTCTTTTGGATTGGAATTTCAGAGTTGGATGTTGGAAGAAAGTGAAAAACGTTGGAAAAATTTGGAAAGAGATGGAAAATGTTGGAAGAATTAAAGTGTTAAAAAACATATAATTAAATGATTACACAAATAAATATGAAAGAAAACTTTAATTTTGGATGAAAAAGAATTCATCATGTGCGTGTTTGAGGTGATATGTTTTAAATTTAGATATATAATGTTATTGTATATTGTCATATATAAAAATACTTTTTTTTAAATTGTTGAGAGAAACTGAAATAAATGAGAAGGAACTAGAAAGAGTTGAAAAAAAGAAAGAATTAAAAATTAATTTTTCTAATCCAAAAGAACATGACTAGGTCTAAATTTAGATAGTTGGTGAGACATGTAATAAATTTGCAAAGTTGACTGTATATCCAGTTGTAACTAATTTCATGTACATTGAATGACCCTTGTATAATTTTTAAGATAAATAATCTTGAGTATATAAATAAATAAGCAATTTAAATTGGGACGGATGGAGTATAATTTTATGCGGAGTATGTATTTATGGTTTCATTATTTCCTTTTACAGCTTGAAAGTGTTATTAAAGAGACAAATAAAATATGTTAGTCATTTTATTTATTTATTTTCTATCAAGGTTTCTTTTATGATTGATAGGCATTGTTTCATTTTATTTTTAAAACATGATGCTAGAAAATCCAAGTGCAATAAGCAAAATATGTTAGTCATTGATTATTTGATAAAATCAAGTATTTTTGTTGTGTTTAGAGTAAAAAAAGTAAATAATGACAAAGTAAATTTTTGTTTAAATTTATCAGCAAATCACACTTTTAAATGCGAACCATATGCAATTAATTTGTTAACAAATGTGTATATATGCATGGCGGTATATTTTAGGAAATGAATTGAATTTTCACCAAAATTAACGACTATATTTATGCATATAAATATGGTTAACTCTCACATAACATTTCTCCAATATAATGAAAATGGGTAAAGCTTCCGTTGTGTGCTTCTTCTTTGCCGTCATCTGCCTTGCTTTTATTTCTTCTAATATTGGTAAATTATGCTTCACTTAAGTCTATATATATATATTCATAATTAATTATTTAATTTCATATGAACACTTTCATAATTAAAATGTGTATAAGAATTCATGGTTTATTTTTACTTAATATTTACTCACTTAATCCTTCGTTTTTCTCCAGTTTAACTTTTTTGAGTAAAATCGGATGAATTTTTTATTATTATTAAATTAAGCCAACGAAATAAAATTTTGAAAATGCTCATTAAGATAAATTTAATTTATTTCTTTGCATACCAATATTGATTGAAACTTTTTATTTAATTAATTAATTTCCAAATTAAAGTTTTTCCATTTGAGTCAAAAAAATTAAACGGAACGAATATACTTGAAAGCGACGGTTCATGTGACATTGGTCATCAATGTCTTGGGATGATATGGGTGTTGTTCCCGTTCGCCCTTGCACCTTTAGCCCCTCTCCCTCCACTCCTACTTGTTTGCTGATTGGTTAAAGTAATTACTATAACCAATCACTAAATGGAAGGAGGAATGACGGAGACGAGAAGGACATCCTAGAGTGTAGGAATCATCGATATTTCAAGCGGAACCCACGTCATCACATGAGATTGACGACCAATATCACATAAACCGAGCCGCATTTTACGTGAAACTAATTAATGATTTGTTTAATTTTAATATTAGGAGTGACGGAAGGATACGGGCTGTGCAATTGGGCCTGTGACCCAAAGGTGGGGGATTGCGCAACTCTGTGTAAAAAGCAAGGCTATTACAACGGGTTTTGCCACGAGCTTGACGGCGTCCTCACGTGCTGCTGCCTCGTTTCAGCCCTTTGATTTTTGCCACACTATTTTTCACAATTATATCAAATTTAATTAGCAGGAACTAGTAATTTTATTTGTTTTTATATACTCCAATATACTACCTTCCTTCTTTATTAATCTACATTTTCTAGTGGCTTTCATAATATATTGAATAAAAAAATAAACACAAATATAGAATGTGTTTACATTCGCTTATTTTTCAATATATTGTGAAAGTTAATTATACGGAGTAATAAAGAGTTAATTCACAATGGCATATTTAATGGTATAAATTAATTTAGAAAAGTATCGCATATTGTTGGTCCATAAAGGTTAATATATGTGCATAAAAGGTACAAATGCAAAAGAATGACATAAAGAATGACATATAGTGTAGGTGTACAAAAGAAAAACAAACACTAACCAACATTATGTGCTTGTGTGGTCACAAAAAGTGTGAAACTATAATTGGTTCATGTAATGGAAAAAATATAATTCAAAGAAATTAAATGGCAGATTAATGGCTTCTTTTTAACACTTTAGCGACCCGGCCCATTCAACATTGATACCATTTCTATGGCAATCACAAACCCTCATAATACATATATTCAATTTTACTAAAAAGAATGCAAATAAAGATTAATGATCATATTTGTATATGAACTTGGGCTTTTGAGGCACACCATTGGTGTAGGGTTTTCAATTTTAGTCTCAAGGAATGATTTGCAATTTTAAATTATCTCCCTCTAACTTTGTTTTCTCGTCTATTCCATTAAGATGAGGTGGAAAAAGAAGTTACATGTCTTCTTACTATTGGTACATGTTGGAAGTGTTTCAAAAACACCCTTTTTTGAACATGCATCGAAGGAATTGTCGTACCCTAGTCCGATTGCAAAATTTTTATAGAATCCCTTGGTTCACATAATACTAGTAATAACCCCGTGCTTCGCACGAGCTCTGATATTTTCTAAATTTTGACATCTAAATTAAAAAATAAAAATAATATTTATTTTAAGTTCTCTAATGATATATGATGTGTTTGATAAATATTTTTTAGTATATAATATCTCTTTTTGAGAGAAAAGTTTTAATTTTATTATTGATGTACATGTACTAAAATATATATAAAAAATATACAAAATAAATGCTTGATTGTTTTTAAAAATAAAATAAATGCTGGATTATTCATATAAATAATATGTTATGAAGTTAATAAAGATGCACGTGTGATAAGATTTATATATGATAGCTTTTTTTGAGATGATGGAATTATAAGCAATATTTTTTTTTATGAATAAATTTTATATAATTTTTTTAAATTATAAAATAGTCACGCATATTTAAAAAATATGTAAAAACAATGAAAAAATATTTCTAAAATAGTGAAAGAGCGAAAACTTTGTAAGAAGTTAATAAAAATAATGAGTTTTTATTGTTGAAAAGTGAAGGATTTATAAAAAATAATAAAAATAATGATTATTTAATACAAAATTAAATAGGCAAAATTGACAAGAATACTCCCAGAAATTCTAGATTTTACATAAATACTCCCAAATTTGTTTCTTTACATCATTACTCCCACATTATTTTTTTATTTACATCATTGCTCCCAAATTTGGTAGTGAACATTAGTGTTACTTGAATGCGTTTTTTTGCGCTAAGTGAGCAGTTAAAATGCAGATATGTATTTTTTTCACTATAATATAACAAATTCACCTCAAATTATTCTCTCCATCGACTTTCTCACGTCTTAGTAAGCCTAATCATTGCCCTTGTTTCCATCACTTTTTTAAAAAAATTTAGATTTCAAACTTCCTAAATGTTTTTAATGTTTAATATCAAGTGTGTTCATATTAATTTAATTTGAATTCAATAAAAAAACGATGAAGAACCCCGTTTAAAAAGACGCATCCGAGGAACACTGACGATGAAGCAATCACGGAGTAATGACGTAAATAACAGACAAATGTGGGAGTAACTATGTAAATAAACAAATTTGGGAGTATTTATGTAAAAACTGAAATTTCTGGGAGTATTCATGTGAATTTTGCCAATTAAATATGCATGCATGGAAAGACATGTGTCATGTGATTTACATGTGGCGTGACAAATGTCAGTAGTATGAATGCGTGGCATGACACGTGTCGTCACAACAACTATGGCATGCTTGCATGGAAAGACATGATTTACATGTGGCGTGACACATGTCAGTAGTATGCACGCGTGGCATGACACATGTCATCACCACAACCATGGAACTCTCTTTTACATATATATAGGATAGGATTGGGAAACAATGTCATGGGATGACTCAGGATTGCTTTAATGCACCATTCGTAAAATTTACGTTTCTTACTTTCCTAGTAAACCCCCCTACATCGTCTCATTCCGAACACACCCTCCTATCCTCTTCAATTGCACCCCCAGTTAATTTTGACCTTGGNGGGTTGAGTCTGGACACGGTCCCGATACAAAACCGGTGCCCTTACCGGGTCTGCCACCGAGACCGGTGACACATTACAGAGTACTTGAAATGGAACCGACGTCCACGGTACCAATTACAGTGTATAGATTTTGATACCTGTACCGGTTCCGGTCCAATTTTAAAATTTTTTCCTTTTGTTTATTGGTGGTGGGTCCTAAGGAGCGCCTTCCAACTGCTATATAGCTGTTTGGAGGGGGTGGTGGTGGTATTTTTAGAAATTACAACAATTACAAAAAATAAAAAACTTGCCAGAACCGGTACCCGAATCGCCGGTACTAGAACCGGTGTCGGAACTGTGCGTTCCATCACTGGTAAGGATTTCTTGGGGTGGCATAACCGACGGTCCCAAAACCGGAACTGTACCATGTCCATCTATAACCGGGGGGGGGGGGGGGGTTAACGGGATAGTAATCATCGACTTTACGAATGGGGCCGTACTTAAATACCCCCGGATAATCCAATGACATTGCCGGACAATGTTATAGGAATCGACACCTTTATAAAAAGATTGGTTATTAAAGAATGCAAAATGGGATAACACCACAATTATTTAGTTGTTTTTATTTTTTATGTAGTATTTATTTATTTACTTATCAATAGTTTTATTAATAAAAAAATGAAAATAAGTTAACCGAAAAATAGTTTGATAATTAAAGTCATTTTTTGAATAAATAAAATAAAGTTAATACAAGTCATTTATTTTTTATACATTTTTTCAATTTATTTTCCATGGTCTAAAAAAATAAAAATAAAGAAAAGTTAGTTATAAAACCAAATAGTGACAAAGCTAAATAAATATAAATATGAATTAAAATATATAAGAATTTTGGAAGGGGATTGTAAAATCACCAAATCACGTATAATTTCTTCGCCTTGTTTGTGAAATTAGGGGATTCGAGTATTGAGTAGAAAATAATTGAGAGAAAATATTCTTTCTGAAAACTATCCTTTTTTGGAAAAAAATATTGTGTATATATGAGAGAAGATATTTTCTCAGAGAAACATTTTTTTACTACTTATGTTAGCAAACATTGAAAATTAAAATAAAAACTTTCTAATGAAATATTTTTTCTCCAAAGAAATGGACTCTAAGATTGTATACAAATGTCATTAATTCAGTGCGAAGGCATCAATACACCTTCAAATGCGAAGGCACTGGAGAAAAATCTTAATTTAGTAAAGAACCCCCAAAACACCTAGAATAATTTAAGGGCCATTTCGTAGAACTTATATTCTTATTCTTATTACTTATTCGTATTAAAATCAAATCAAATTAGATCACGCATGATAAGAATATTTAAAAAAATATTAATATTTTTTCAATGTTTAAATAATAATTAGTATTGAATTAAATCACATCCCTTTATTTAATATGATAATATTTTTTCATTGTTTAATTAAAATTATAATTTTAATTATATTATTATTACTCCGTATTATTATAGGACGATGTTAGGCGTGTAATAGCACATACAAATTAATTTATTATTTTTCTTAACTCTTAACCCCTTTGTGAATAAATATTATTTAAACATATAAATAGGCAAGTGAGGATCGATCCCACGAATAAAAATACTTTTTATTGTTATGAAAAGCAATCCACATGTCACTTTTATTAACTAAAAACTAACTAAACAAATAACCAAACTCAAAGGATGTGGGGGGTTTGAAAGATAAATTAAAAAGATAAAAATGCAAAAAAAATGAAGAAAAATGATAACAGAAAAGAAAGAACCACAACAGTAAGCTTGAAACTCAGAAGTAACACTCACGGGGTGACACATACTCCATTCGTCCCGGAGTATTCGTCCAGTTTTAATTTTTGGAACTGTTCATCTAAACACTTTGACTCATCAAATTCTCTCAATGTGTAAGCCTAAATATAGTCATGTGTGATCTTGTTTGATTTATCTTAACATATAAATTATTAATATATAATTTCTATAATTTTTTAATATACAAATTACAAAATAAAATGGATTAAAGAAGTGTATTGGATGGTGTGTAAAAATGAAAGTGAACAAATACTCTGGGACGGAGATAGTAAAACAATTCACACATTTAAATTAAACCATTTTGAAAATATTTATAATTTTTAATATAAAATGAATTAAACAATTCTCATTAACTAATGCCAAATAAAATTTAAAATCTTTTTTTAATAAGATGTCGGAGTAATTTCTTGGCTGACACGAACCGACACCGCATAAAAAATTCCCTTGTTCTACGGTACATGAGAATTGAGAAAGCTCCATTGGAATTTGGGAACAAATCCATTCTTCTTCATCGATTACATTTCTTGGATCTAAAGTTTGCCGGAAATTACATCTCGATCGATGGCCGTCACCGTAGAATCGAGTCCTCTCTTGCCAGCGAAAGAAGAACCCCAGGCGAAAGATGAGAAGAGCGCAGCATCACAGGACGCCGCAGCCACGGTTCATCCGGAGAAGCAATCGCCGGCTGCTATTCCGATGGGATGGACCGCCGACGGGCTGCCGTTAAGATACAGCGTGATTGGTGAAGCCGCCAGGTCTCAGTGGGATTCCAGCCTCTTCGCCTGTCTTGGGAGGAATGATGATTTCTGCAGCAGTGATCTTGAAGTTTGTGAGTTTTTTTAATAAAAATACATTATCGTTTTCATCGAATTTCCCATTTCAAAAATTGGGCTCTGTTAGCTTTGTTTATGATCAATTCTTTGTTAGCTTTGTTTTATATCAATTCTTTATTAGCATTTAGCAATCAGGGAAAAGATCTAGCTCTCGATTTGGATTGTTATTTTTTTATATCTATCCCTAATTCGACAAACTTTAGGTTTACATCTAATCACCCAACTCTGCAAAATCATATGATCATGTATTCATGGTGTATTTATCCAGTTTAAACTTTTTCGGTCAATTTGGATGAATTCTGATAATCAATTACATAAAAATTGTATCTCTTATTAATGCAAAAATGATACCATTAAATTTATGTTGCAAAAAAGAATTAAAAAAAAGTATTTCATTGTATTAATATACAAAGTAGTATTTATTTAATTAATGTACAAAGTTTGTCCAAATTGGCCGAAAAAGTTACCTTACCTAGTTACCCAAGATACAAAAGGTCAACAACAACCTACCATGTTCAGTTCAACAAGTGGGGCACAGAGACATTACCTCACCCTACATACAAATAGTAGAAAGTTTGTGTTTAAAAAAACCACTTGAATAATTAATTAAATATATGATTATATGAATGGAATGAGTACAAGATTAACAATAAGTAATAAGTTAGTTGCTCATCTGATGTTGGATTATCGTTTTAACCCTCTGGGTATTATTGAAATGAACTAGGTTTGTTAGGAAGTGTGGTCCCTTGTGTGCTCTATGGAAGCAATGTTGAGAGAATTGGTTCTGCTCCTGGGGCTTTTGCCAATCACTGCTTGCCTTACACTGGTTTATATGTAATCGGGAATTCGCTTCTTGGTTGGAACTGCCTTGCTCCCTGGTTCTCTTATCCTACCCGTACTGCAATTCGCCGCAAGTTTAATTTGGAGGTAAGAAAATTATTAGTGCCTATTTGGTTGGCTTATATCAACCAATTCCTCACCAAATGCCAAATCTTGTTCCAAGGCTTGTTATGTTGGTTGAAAATGAAAAATAAAGTGTAGGGGTTACTGTTGCTAGCTCAAATGCTAAATTTGACACTCCTGGTTTTATTTTGAGATATACTTTTTGTTTGGGTTGTTTAAAAACATGAGCAAGGATGTGTTGACAGCAAGCATATGTGTCATATTATGACACCCAAAAAACATGAGCAAGGATGTGTTGACAGCAAGCATATGTGTCATATTATGACACCCGCCATTCGAGGGCTCTACGGTGTTCTGTTAGCTCTCTAAGTGTTTCCTACCTGTAGCCTGCCCTTCTAGCCATCCCCTAGGTTAATGATATGCCACAATAGTACTATATCATATCGGCTAAAGAGGGGTTGTGGGATTTGTGGGGGTAGGAATCACTTTGAGGTCCAATGGAGCACCTTAGGTTGTGGGAGTCATATTATAACACCCATAACGGCGTGGTCTAAAAACATACAGAGTATCATTAAATAATTTCTAAATTTTTTGAATTGGCCATTTAGCCTCAACTCTAAGCATTACCAAACGGGCTCCCAAATCTCAATTGTATGTTGGAGAAATTTTTCAGTAGACTGAGTTTAAAACGTTATTCGTTCAAAGGATAAAGCAAAAAGTATATACGGACCTTCCTCTTGTTGATTCTTGAAAGTTGAAATGTGTTTTGGCAAACAGGGAAGCTGTGAGGCACTTGCCAGATCATATGGCTGTTGTGGAACCTTCATTGAAGACGAAGTTCAACACGAACAGTGTGAATCTGCGTGCGATATGGGCACTCATGTCTTTTGCCACCCTTGCGCCATGTGTCAAGAGGCTCGTGAGGTTCGCCGCAGGCTTCCCCACCCCGGATTCAACGCCCCACAGCCAGTCTTGGTCATGGTCCCACCCGGACAACAGAGTATGGGCCGTTGAGGGCGCGCGTACAGTGTGTCATGCTGCCTGACTGTTTTTGTTCTGCTGCTGAAAGAGTGTAATTGTTGGATTGGTCATTGTAAGAGTATGCTACTCGTTCCTAATTCTTCCTATGTGTCATATAGTACCTTTGAATAATTTGATACTGAGTTGTATTTATAGGGTGTGGCTCTGGCTCTGCTGTGCTATATCAGGATTTTCTTTTGATAATGCTGTGTTTCTACAAAAAAAATGTGTAAGTTGTTTTTGTTAATCTCAGTTGTGGTTGTACTCTAGATCAATCATGCAATGCATACAACGTTAAGAGCATTTACAATGGGGAGTGCTCTGGTCTTGCCTCATTGTTTGTCAAATCATCATGAAACTAATTTGAAGCTCTGACATCTTAAAACACTTGCAATGACATCGCTCTCTCGCCTTGTCTCTCTGCTTCTTTTACATTGCTTATCATTTTTGTTTGAATCAGTTGTGGTTGTACTCGGTTCAAAGTATTTGGCCCACGTGAGTCAGACTTTGGCCTTGTGGAAAGAGCAGATTGAAATTGCACTTAGTTAACCCGCACGGGTAGCCCAAGTGGCAAGCACTTGGTGGTGAAGTTTGAAGAAATTGCACTTAGTTCAGAGAGAGAGAGAGAGTAAGAGCGAGAGACATGTTTCAGGCATGATTGACTCTGGATCAATCATGTTATGCGTACAACGCTAAGAGTTTTTGCAATGGGACGGACTCTCACCACCCCGCCTATTACCTGTCACATCAGCATTCCATTATTTTTTAGTCTTGCCCCAATTATTGTTTATCTGTGTGCTTGTAGACCTCTCGTTTTGTAGAACTTTTGATATGGTTTTTTAATAGGTAATTTTTTTGATATACCAATTTGTAAATAAAATGATTTGAAAAGACGGAAAATTTTACCTCATACCTCACAATTTTTAATCAAATTAGGCACGAAGGAAGTATCATAATTCAGACTCAATTCACTAGAAGTTGGCACTACGTGGAGTTTTTTTGACACGTCACTGTGCTTTTTTCCAAAAGGTCCATATGCCTTCTTGGGTTGTAAACGAACCGAATCAATTCAAATATTCATGAATAATATTCGTATTCGCTAATTTTAAGCGATATTTGAATTCGGTTTGTCTAATATACTGGACATATTCGGTTCGTTTAAAAATTCGGTTCGTTTAAATACATTCGGTTCGTTTAAAAATATTCAATTTATTTAGATTTTAAGATATTTTACAACCATTTAAATTATTTATTAAAATCTTAATTCATATTATTACAATATTTTTTTTCAAAAACAATTTGTATGTACAAAGTTATGCGTTAGCTGTTAAACAAAAATTGTAAACTCATATCTTTAACATATCGAAAATGAAAATATAAACCACAATTTTTTTTATAATCTCAAGTGTCTATTATCAAGTAGAAAGAAGGCCCGCAGCTTAGACTTCAATCTAGACCGTGGAGACAGATTTGGACTTTGGAGTGAGTTTTCTCATTTTTAGAGGTAAATGAATAAAATAACTATATATATGTAATATTTGTATTATTAAATTTAAATTTTGAATATATTCATCAAACTCAGGAATAGAATATCCTTGATTTGAATTTGTATTCATTATAGATTCAAATATTTATTCAGATTCTTATTCAAATTCAAAAAATCAAATACGAATCACCTATTTTAAATACGAATCGCGAATTGAACAAAAAAAATATTTGATTCATTTACAACCCTAATGTCTGTAATCAAACAAATGCAAAAATAGTGATTTAGAAAATTGAATGCGTCGGTGCCCGATATGCTCGAAATAAATATCTTCGCCCTTATCACCGTCTCCTCCTCCAGATGCATTTTTTGTCAAAATTAAAATCAATTATAGAGAAATTGCAATCTTCAATATCGATACCTTCTTTCCTCAGAGCTCTATCAATTTTTACATTAAATTCAATTTCATCAAGTATCTCCTCCATCATCTTTTTTCTTCAACAGAAAATCCAAGATCGCATTGGGATGGAGTTTGAATTTCAGATCATGAATCTGAAGAACACAAACTTGGTATGTTCATGTCTTTAACTAATTATCAATTCAATTTCTATAATTAATAAGTTACCAATTTTATAATAACATTTTATTTTATTGGACGATGAAGTCTTTGATTGCTTAGACGGTTGAAAGGGTATTATTTCTTTGCAACGCATAGATTTCCGCATAACCTTCCACACCCTGGTATTACCAAAAGCGTAGCCCGCTTCGCGCTTGAAGTGCAGCGTCGTGGATATTCTCTTCACTGCACCCACTTATTCTGTTGTTTGTGTGGAAGGCGAAGTGTGTGATGAACTTGCCGACCTTTTTCATTAAGTCGCGTCACTTACTAGTTAACATGCCTACCATACAGTAGACACGGTCCCAAAAAGTATTATTCCATGTGTTTTTGATGGTTGGCTACAAATTTAGGGAAAAAATGTACTAGTAAAAAAAATATTAAAAAATTAAATATCAAATAATATTCATATCTTGAATTGGATCCTTGAAAAGTCAATCGAACTTTTAAGTCAACGATGCCTTCTCCTCATCCAACCAAAGGTAACTTGTTTCTTTCATCGGTGCCTTCACAAGTTTTGAATTGGAGCTTTTTTCTTTTAGGCTTTCTTCTTCTTCTTGGACTCTGCCTCAAGCCGAGTAAAAGGGAAAGGGTTGTGGGGAGGTTGCGTCTCCGAGATGTAATGAGATTATGTCTCCGGAATGAAATTGGAGAACGTGAAAACTTACAAGCCACCGGAGAAGTAGTTCGGGGATGAGGTCCAATGCTCAAATCCCTCACATTTGGGACGATAACAAATACCGAACCAATTCACATAGTTTGTAACATTTAGATTGAAAGGAGAACACTTGTTGTAAAAATACGGATGATTAAGATTGTTTGGATTCATGGTGTGAGAATGGATCACGGCATGAATGGGTTGGGACACTGCGCCCAACCTTATCTCGTCATTTCCTTCTATCGATTCTAAATTCATATCATAAAATTAATCCCACGTCCTTTTGGGTCTTCGAAGGCGACCCATAAATTTTGTGTCACAGATTAACACAATTTTCTGGTAATTTAGCCATAAGAACAGAAACAAGTAAAAGAAAATTCAATTTTACCTTACTGGTACCAACCAACTAGAGGACATGTTCATAAATAGAAGGCAAAACATCTCTGGGGAAAAAAGAATAAAACTTGTCGGAAAGACTTAGACATTCCAGTCATGAACTCAACATTTGAAAGGACTTCACTGCCATAAAGATCAATCTATTCCCCAGGTGCAGAGACGCCTTGCCTCAGCCTTTCCTTCTTCATCTTCTTCTTGGAAACCGGCTTCTTTTTCTTCGGGGGGAGAGTCTTTTGCGCATACCTATAGAGCAAGTAGTTCCCCACAAGGAATGCCAATACAAGACCACCGACGATGAGGAGGACAACTAATCCAGGGTTGAACCCTTTCACCTCAACATCCTTCGCCACATTTGTCTGCTTATTCATCATTGTACAATATCAGTTAGGTAAAGTTGGATAAGCAGTAAGGTATTCAAATAAACTTGAAGTCTAAATTTACATTAAACATGCATTTCACTGCTGTACATTCCGTTACCTCTTACTGAAGTTTACCTAAAATGAGCATGGTAACATAATAATTTAAGTTTAGACAATGAACAAAAGAATCAAAATGCAAATAGGTGTATGACAGAGAAATGTTTGCCATATGTTTCTCCTTTGCTCATAAAGAAAGAAATACTAAAGATTAATGGTTCTTTTCTTTTGTTAGTCCACAGGGTAGTCAAAAGAGGAGGAAAAAACTGGTAGAGGTGCCCAATATTGCTTTAACCTGTAAGAAAAAGAATGGATTTAAAAGGCAATCTAAAAATTCTCTCAAAACATACTGTCACAGAAAATCTTATGACCATCTTTGTGTCGGCAACAATACTGATATTGATGCATCATCCAAAGTTGGGAATAACTTTAACATCCGAATCTCGGATTCATAAGGAAGCAAACGAGGGGGTTATAGAATCCACGTAAAACTCTAAAACGACAAAACGGCTAAAGCTACAGGTCTAGCTCCATAAGAATATTCCATTCCAAATCCTTTGACGAACATGGTTTCTGAAAAATGGTATCTGATAGAGACAGGACGATCAGTTCCATATGTCTAATACAGAGTATGGTTTATCTAATACAGTGTATTTTGTTATTCCAACCAATCAACTCTGTAACAACGGGTTTCTTTTTAACCTGATTTCATATTAAAGAGAAGCCTCCCGTAATAATATTCCTACAACTAAGCAACCCTTTAATCAAATTCTTTTAATCGGACAAGCTAGCTAGTTGGGGTTTCATCTTAAAAGGCATGTTTTGCATCTTGTACTCCGTATTAGTTATTGACTGGCTCATTTGAGCGTGACCAACTTTAATAGTACTTACTATTTTAAGCGTCGGGATCCATCCCTGAAGATTGGTGTTCAATCCTTGCACGTCAATGTGTTGTTTCTATGCTCAGTTCATTCAATGTGGAATGAGATTTACAGTTTTACACCTTCTGTCCCATAAAATTAGTCCTTCTTTAAAAATGTACACTTTTATAATTTTTAAAACTTAATTAATGTGTAAGTATTGGAAATTGGATATTTAGCAGATGCATCATTGGTTTAGGACTCTTTTTATAAGGCATATAGAGTATTATTTCTCTTTAGCAGATGCATATGGAGGACTTCTTTCCCTTTTAAACTCCCAGTTTGAATTTGCGCAATTTTTACTATAGTAAAAATTCAAATTTGTTCATTATAAATATAAACAAAAAACAAGCACATAATTTTTTTCCAAAAAAGAAAGAAAAACTGGGATCATATCGGGACGGACAAAAAGAAAGGGAATGAAATTAGAAATGGAGAGTATATATCAGCACCCAGACGTGACACATTCGAGCAAAATAATTTGTAGAATTTGAAAAAAAAAGGCCAGTTAATTAAATCATTCAGACTAACTACAGATCTATCAAAAAACAAAAACAAAATGCAGCAAATACCAGAATTGAGTGGGGAATCAACATTGGAAAGATATGAAGAAGGCGTTACCACGCGTTCAAATTGAGCTTCGTGCTCGAAATCTCCATCGGCGTCCATGGCGGCGGCGGAGAGGAGAAGAAATCGATCTGATCTTACCGGAGCAGCGTTGCCGTCAGCACGATCCGTCTGGTTCGACGTGGAGCATAGAAATTTAAGACGGTAGCTCTCGTCGAATTAAACGAGAAACAGTTTCATTTCCTTCTATGGCAGTCCTCCCACTACTCCATTATTGAATTTTGACCCCTCGAATTATTATGGAGTAGTAAAAATTCCACTCGCAAAAATACTACTCCTTACCCTTATTCTCTCCCGCTTATTTTTATTAATTACTTTTTGAGTTTGGTAAAAAAAAAACTTCTCGAGTAATTATTCTTATTAAATCAGATACAATAAAAAGATTCGAACAAATCAGATAAGATTAGGTCAGTATAACTTATTTTTGTTATTTATTGTGAAAATATTTATTTTTATTATAACCAAATAAGAGTAGAACAAATTATATTCGTATCGTTTCACGCTTTATTAGCGAGATTATGATTAAAGTTTCACTTATCATTTAGTCGCGAAACGTTCATGCAGTTCTAAGGAGTCCCGTAAAACGGTGCATCACATTTTTCCTTTAATTTTTATGAATCTTGCTAGATCATGATTAAAATCCAACACGAAAGAAAGAGTGTATATAGTCTTATTAAGAAAGCAACAATGTTTATATAACACCAAAGTTGATAATCGTCATACTATTTTTCAACTGGATGATCGAACTTTTAAAAGTAAGAGCTAAAGTTGAGTCAGTGAGTCTGAATGAGTGTGAATAGTCCTATTAGGAAAGCAATAATATTATTATTAGCATCAAAGTTGGCACCATCACATTCATTTTCGAACAGAAGTTGTTATCAGTGTAAAATTATTATCTGTGACATATTAGTAAAAAAGGTTATACCCCCAATCCACAATGTCCTTCATTACCAGCTTTATTAGTGATGCGTTAAAAAAATATTTCTAATATAAGTTTTTTAGAGTATTGTTTCATCTAAAAAAAATATCATGCAAAACTTATGTGGAGCACATGTAATCTTAAGCTCGGTTTGGAAAGGTGGAAAATGACTTATTTTCCTAAAGTCAAATTTCATTTTGTATTGTTTACCTTGTACATTTACCAATGTAACCTCTTCATAAGTAACCTCACAAAGACAGATTAGAAAAGTAGGAGTAGGTCCCAAGGAGAAAAATGTACACGTTTCAATTTCTGATTGGGTCAACCAGCAAACGAGTCATGCCTGACTATCCACGTGGTGCGCCACAATTGGTTCTTGCAACGTGGAGCGCATCTCTATTCGCTTTTGCGAGCAGTTTCTTTTTTACTGTGTTTGTACGGAACAAAATGCGAGTATGAACGTTTTTAAAGCTCTTCTGAGAATTCCAAATCTGGCGCCGATAGCTATAAACCTTCAAAATCGCTGAAATTCTGCAGAAAACATACATGGAGGCATCAACGAAGCTGTGTTGTATGGATTTCTTGGCACTGAGAGGCTTTCTTTTATCGGCATTGATTCTCAATTTCGTGCTCGCCTGTCAGTTTCTCCTCCTCCAACCCCTCGTTTCTGCCCTAGGTGAATTCGCTACTTCAATAATATGTGTAGAAGAATTATTCGTTTTGTTTCTGGGTTATGCAATTAGAGATATGATCGATGAATATCCCGATTCATATGTTCAAAATCTCTTCACGGCAGCCATTGATCTGTTTCTGAATTGCAAAGATTTGTTTTTTTTTCTCCTTCCGATTTTCTGTTTTTTTAATTAATGAAATTTCGAGTTCTGTACGGGCATAAAGTTGGTATTTTTTTAATATTGATTTATTGTTCAATGTGGTTGGTGTGTTTAGACGGGAGACCTGAAGAAGCTGCTGCATTGCTTGAAAAAGCTCAACAGCATGTCAAAGTTAAGAGATATAGTGAAGCCCTTAATGATCTCAATGCAGCTATAGAGGCTGATCCTACACTTTCCGAGGCATACCGGCATCGGGCATCTGTTTTTCGTCAATTATGCAGGTTTCAAATTCTTTTCCTCTTTAAATGTAGAGTGAATAGTTCATCTAGGGTTTTTTTCCTCAATAGTTAAAGGATAATAGTGTACGTTTTTCTTTATGCGAATTGCAAGTGCAAAACCTAAGTATCAAGTAAAAAAGACTAACTTTTGAGCGAATATTGCTAGCAAATGGGACATTGTGCATTTGATTGCGAACTTCATCCTTGCATATTATTTCCAAGTATGAAACATTAGGGGGCTATGTATATATAGTGATGTTAGCAATGAAAAGTACCCTCGTCCCAAAGAAGAGTCCTATTTGAAAACATATTTTGACACTATTCCAAAGACTTAATTAATTGAAATATTCAATAATAAGAATTAAACTTTAATACTCCTTAAAATATAATGGGTTAATGATATAACGTCCGTAATAAGATTCGGTTAATATGATCGTATCTGTGTGTGTGTGTGATGCTATATGTTGTTTTGGTATAAAACAACTTTACAGGGTAATTTTTCTAGTATTTATGAACATCCATTCATTTCCCTCTTATCCATCTTTGTATTTGACGAGATATAAATCATAGAATGATGCCTCGTTCATGGGTAGTAGAAAAGAACAAAATAGGTTCTATTGTTTCTTACTTTAATATCTGATTGAAAAATTACATGATCCAGGCAATTTTTGGCTAATGTAGATATGAGGAATCAGAAAGAAACTATGGGAAATTTTTGGAGATGAAACCTAGAAACTCAGTGGCAGAGAGAGAACTTTCGCAATTGTTGCAGGCTAAGGGTGCTTTGGAGTCCGCTATGAATCTCTTTGACTCGGGGGACTTTACAAAAGCATTGGAACACATTGATAAAGTTGTGCTTGTTTTCTCTCCAGCTTGCTCAAAGGTATACAAGTCACTGTTTTAAACGGGATCCTCTGGCATTATATTTGTAATTATTTGCTGTGATGAAGTTTAAGTATGTGACGCCTGACGTAGCAACTGTGGATTATCAGGCTAAAATTCTCAAAACAAGGCTATTGCTTGCAGCGAAAGATTATTCAGGTGCCATAACAGAGGCAGGATTTATGCTTAGAGAGGATGAAGATAATATTGATGCATTGTTGCTACGTGGCCGTGCCTACTACTATCTTGCAGATCATGATGTTTCTTTAAGGTTGGTTAATAATTACGTTTCCAGTACTCTCTCTATACTCAGTTTCTGTTGTTCAGTTGCACTTGGTGTTTTTAAGGTTATTAGTTTTGGCAATTTTTTTCAACCCCACCTACACCCAACTGACTCAAGCATCTGATATGTAAAATTCTAGTACTATGGGAAGATATGCATAATGCCCATATGGTATGCATTTGTTCCAGCTTATCTCCCAGGTGGGAAGAAAAGTACTGAAGTTACTTTTTTTGGCAGAAATTTCTGAAATTAATAAAAATGACATTTCAACCTTTAGTTTTAGATATTTGTATCCTTTAATATTTTGGAGAATTCTGCAGATTTAGCCTATTTAGCATGTTCAGGAAAATATTTTGATTCAGTCACTTTAACCTTTACTTGCCTTTCCAAACAATGCCCTATTAATCCTGAATGTTTTTGTTATTGTTCAGACATTACCAGAAGGGTCTTCGACTTGATCCTGAACATAGCGAACTGAAGAAAGCATATTTCAGCTTGAAAAATCTACTCAAGAAGACAAAAAGTGTATGCATTTCTTATTCTTCCCTTGGTATAGACCCTTTCACCGTGTTGGCAAATATTTCTGTATGTATATTACGAAATGTTTGTTTTTTTCTGTGCAGGCAGAAGAAAATGAAGCTAAGGGCAAACTTCGTCTTGCTGTGGAAGAATATAAAGGCGCTATAGCATTGGATCCAAACCATTCCGCATTCAATGTGCATCTTCTTCTTGGTCTTTGCAAAGTATCAGTGAAGCTTGGCAGGGGTAGGGATGCCATTTCAAGTTGCTCGGAAGCACTCCAGATTGATGAGGAACTTGTTGAAGCTTTAACTCAGGTTCTTAATAATTATTACCATGCTTTTCCCCCCAATCGTTTCGGTCCCTCCACCTATAACATGTAATTCTAAAATGCATTAGGATGTTAGGAGTGCCTTTCCTGGTTCTTCCCAATCATATAACATTAGATGTTAGCATTAGTCGTTGCTAACACTAGTTTGTGACATGGAATCATTTTTACAGAGGGGTGAAGCCAAACTTTTGATAGAAGATTGGGAGGGAGCTGTGGAGGATTTGAAATTGGCAGCAGAAAAATCTCCACAGGTTTGTATTGGAGTCTGGAGAGTTCCTTGTCTTATGGATTTCATTCTCATAGTTGTTTCCACAATCCACTCTCAATTCTCTCAAGTTTTTCTATAGTGCTTCTTTGGAGTTCCAGTATTATTGTTTAAATTAAATATGTGTTTTTCGTGGTAACAGGACAGACATATTCATGAAACTTTGATTCGGGCTGAGAGATCATTAAAGTTGAGCAAACGGAAAGATTGGTACAAAATTTTGGGAATTTCCAAAACTGCATCAGCATCTGAGATAAAAAAGGCATATAAGAAGCTTGCTTTGCAGTGGCACCCAGACAAGAATGCTAACAACAGGGAAGAAGCTGAAGCCAAATTCAGGGACATTGCTGCAGCATATGAGGTCTGCTATTAATTGTCTTTTTTGCTGAATCTATAATGGAAAAATGTTATCTTCCATTCTATTTCCTCAAAGAAAAAAGGGAATAATACACCCTGTCACACATGATCTGAGATGCCATCTGTCTTGCAGGTTCTTGGTGATGAAGAGAAGCGTACCCGGTATGATAGGGGAGAAGACATTGATGAAACAGGTTCAGGAATGGGCGGTGGAGGATTCCACCACCCGTTCCAAGGAGGTAACTTCCAATTCCATTTCGAAGGAGGCTTTCCTGGCGGTGGATTCGGAGGTTTCCAATTTTGAGCACATGCTTATTCGCTACTCGTAGTAACTTAAAAGGAAGCAACTGTTGAGCTCTTCTCTAGACTCTAGGTGGGCAAAAGCTAGTGTCTATAATCCCAGGAAAGAGTTCTTTGTTTTTCTTCTCATTGTTATGGGAGGCCATTTTCTTCTCCTGGGTAAATGACATTTTCATTGTAACTTTATAGGTAGATTAAGCTCAAGATTCTGCATATTTACACAATCTTATTCCCCCCCTCCCCTTTTCGGTGCTTAACTTCGAATCAGAGCCACTCTTTAGCTTCCGCAGTGAGATTACTCGTTACATATAAGAGCTATTACTTATTTAACTGCGAAAAAAAGATGTTCTAGTTCACTAAATGCACACAGCACGCATTATTATTGGCAAGAACAATTCGATACGATCCGGTCAGTGCATTGTGTGCTCTTTAAGAGGCGGACGAATGTCGCGAACCGACCGGACTTTTCAAGTATGGCGGTGATGTTTGTTGGGCCTGGTGGTGCCGGGGAAGGGGCTGGTGGCTGAGCAAGAATGGCCATGCTTTGGGAGAGGAAGAAGATGATGCAGGAAATTGAGATGGAAGAAGTGGTCTGTTTCATTTCTTTTGTTTGATCTTTTTGGGTACAATGATGGTGCATTTAAGAATATTATGCTAAGGTTGTGTTTTGTTGGTCGGATCGGAAAACATGAGAGTTTTGATTTTGAAGGGAGATTTAAGGGAGTGTATTTTGGTATTGAATTTCCAAAAATGTCTTTTGATATGATGAGTAAAAGTATGATTTGATGGATAGATTATTAGTAAAAATGTATGATGTGATAGGTATGATATGAAAAAATAAGAGGCAAAAGTGACGTTTTAGTAAAAATGAGAAGTGTTTTTTGGGACAGAAAAAAAAGAAAGGAGAAAGTTTTCTGGGACGAAGGTAGTATGTAATAAGGAGTAATTTGAAAAAATATTTTAAATAGATATTTTGTTGATTCAAAATGAACTCATATGTACTGTGCATCTTCCATTACTCATCTAAATCTCATATACTGGAACTGCAAATTTCAAATGCTTCACTCTGTAATAAAAAATCCTTTAAACGAAGCTCAAATGACGAGTTCCGCTCACACATTTGCATTCCTGCACCCGCCATTCCTCAATTCTCGCCGCTCAAGTCTCCCTTTCCCGATCCCGAACCCCAGGCCACCGACGAGACTGCAGATCCGGACTCCGATCAGAGCTCAGGCATCTCTCCCCGATATCGGCATCGTGAACCGAGCAATCCTATTCGTTCGGACCTCGCCGCCGACTTGGCAGTCCGCCGTTGCTAGTAACGCCATCATCTTCGCTCTTGGATCTCCGCTTCTGGTTTCCGGCCTTTCGCTTTCTGGTTCGGCCTCCTCGTTCCTGCTCGGAACTCTCACTTGGCGCGCCTTTGGCCCCTCTGGATTTCTCCTTGCGGCTGCCTACTTCATACTTGTAAGACCAAAATCAAATCCTTCTTCATCCCTACATTTAAGCTTGGTTGAAATTCCTTGTTTCTTTAATGCTCTGGAAACTTGTGAACCCTATTCATGGTCTTTATGATTATCTAGAGAGTATGGTGGATTGAAAAAGATGTATTTGGCTTAAATGACTGAGTTAACATAATTTTCCGGAAAAAAAGATGTGTTGGTAAATTTAGTTTCAGTTGAATTAGCACATAGAATACTTCCGATCGAAGCACATAGAATACTTCTTTATTATGAATATTCTAAAGAAACAGAAGATTAATATTGCGAAACAGTGCCTTGAATTCTTTTTTTCTAAATTTTCTATCTAAGAAACATGGTTTAAGTAATCTCAGTTTGTCAGGGCACTGCTGCAACTAAGGTGAAAATAGCAGAGAAGGAGGCTCAGGGTATAGCAGAAAAGAGGAAGGGAAGGAGAGGACCTGGAAGTGTGATTGGTTCCAGTGCAGCTGCTTGCGTTTGTGCATTACTGTCGATCAACCGGGTCGGCGGTGCTACTTTCTCTCGTCTTTGGGAACTTGGATTTGTAGCATGTTTTTGTACCAAGTTGAGTGACACAGTCTCCAGTGAGATAGGGAAGGCGTTTGGTAAAACCACGTCAGTACTACTCCCCCACTCTTCTTGTATATTATCTTCCCCACCGTTATCTTCTTAGAGCCTGTTTGGTAGGATTAAACTGATTGATTCTTTGGTTTGTTTTTTGTTTTTTCGTTCACTATATACTCTTGCATAATAGTTTTTGCATGCAACTTTCCATAGTATCCTTGTTTCAATACCAAGTTAGGGACAAATGCATTTGTAATCTAGGTGGGATATGTCTTTCATGGAAACTGTCTGGTAGATGACGGAACTTGAATTGCAGATACCTTGTCACAACACTCAAGGCTGTTCCAAGAGGAACAGAAGGAGCAGTGAGTGTGGAGGGGACTTTCGCTGGACTTATTGCTTCAATTCTCCTGGCTTCCATTGCTTGTATAACGGGTCAGGTATGGACTTCTAACTGTATATTGATGCCTTTTTTTTATTTTTTATAATTTTCACATCTATGCAAAAGGTAGTTGATGGTGTTGAATCCAATCAGGCCAAAACTAAAATTGTTTTCTTGAACTAAAAGGTTTGAAGTTATGAAGTTGACTTTTGGAATAAAATCTCTAGAGACTCTTTGTGATCCCCCTTATGTTATAGTGTTATACTCATAACTTAAAACTGCATTTATATATTTTTTTAAAAATGTTTTCTCATTTAAGCCACCAATCCGGTGCTTCCATTAATAAGCACACAGCAAGCACTTCCTAGTTGAAATTAGATCACTTCTCTTGCGAAAATAAATATTTTCCTTGAAAACGAGCAATCTCAAATGCAGTCCAAATTGTGAGGTATACAAATACAAAAGAACGTTTGTGTGGAGAGAGGATTTCACAAATCAGAAGCTTACTGAAAAGATTTGCTTGCAGATAAACAAACCTGAGGTGGCTATATGTGTTTTGGCTTCCCAAATTGCCAACTTTGGCGAAAGTCTGATTGGTGCTGCGTTTCAGGGGAAGGAAGGGTTTGGATGGGTAAGTTTGATCGATCTGGTTGTCGGTTTGAAGTACTCGTATGAACATAATAATCGCTGCGTGACACTCAAAATGCATGAAAATTCGTGTTGTTTTTTTCTCCTACAAGTCTTAAATATATTCGACAAAACTTGTTTTTTTTTTCAAAATAATATTCAACAAAACTTCATGTTTGATTTCCAGCTGAACAATGATGCTGTCAATGTGATCAACATATCAATGGGCAGCATTCTTGCGATCGTAATGCGGCTTAGTTTGAACTCCACACCTGGCCTGCTAAATTCACTAGGTTAACTACTACAATGTCATTAAACTAACTGCAAAATCATTTAAAACTCTTTGGGTGCTGTCGGTTCATTCAAATGTACAGATTTGAATTGTCTTGATTAATGAACAATGTTTAGGGGGCTGTTCGTTTGAGGCTTTGAGCTGTTGCTAATTGCTGTTAGAATAGCTGTTAACAATTTATGTGTTTGATTGTACCCTGAATGCTTATACTTTGGTTTGAAAATGTTAAACTTTGTGTTTGGAATTCAACCCTCTCCCAGCAGATATAAACGTAAGGGAGACCTAAAAAAAGATGGGTCGAATGAATCCATTACTATGAGGCCTTTTATGAGGTGCTCGAAAATGAATTCGTAGACAATATCGGTTATGTTAGCATTGCACGGTCGTGGCACGGTTATGTTAGCATTGCACGGTTGGTCTTTTCATTAATTTTTTTGTTAGTCCATGCATTTTTTCTATTTTTCATTAGAAATACACGTGAGAAACTCACAATTGAACCATATTTAATATAGGTTCATTTTTTTGATAAAAATAAGTTACTTTTGCTCCAATGATTTTAATAATATTAAGTTACTGCCGTCAAAAAAATAATACTAAGTGACTTTTGTTTTATTAGTCCATTTTTTAAAATACACATTTTGTCTTATTTTTTTAAATAGCCTTTCTGCATTTAACTAAGGTTAAATTTTGACATATAATTTCAATTAAACTGATTTTACTTAATAAATATGACTCAAATGTATGAAAAATATAGAGTTTCTCACATGTATTCATAAAGGGAAATATAAAAAATGCAGGGACTAACAACAAAGTTAACGGGAGGACCAACTGTGCAATGCAAACGTGATTTGAAGGATTATTTGTGAAATTTTAAAAGTTGAAAGACAGACCGTGTATGACGCAATTACTTGAAAGACCAACAATATAATTTGGCTAAAAGGTTTCACTATTGAATAAGCACGAAGATTAAAAAAAAAGTAAAATTGTGTTGTTAGAAATGATGCAGAAAGAAGAGAAATTATATATAAGAGCTACATATTTTTTTTCAAAAGTAGAAAATGAACCCCTATTTTTCCAGAACGGATGAAAAATAAAACATGCTCACTCTGTCCCAAAATGTTTGCCACATTTCCCTTTTCAACCATCACGAAAACTTTTTGTTTATTTGTATATTTTCATTGATTATTTGATAAATAAAATATTCTTGACACTTCTTATTTCGAAGTATTTTTCAAATAGTTTTAAATTAGAAATCACCTTATGTAGCACTCTAAAACACCCAATATTACACATATAGCATTCCTTACTATTTGTTACACATTTGGTTATTTATGGCGTAGATCTCTTCCAATCATACCTTTTTATTATAATGCTATATTTTAATTATTTCATTTACCATATTTATTGAGATCCATAATTTTAGGAGGTTATTCTCATTCCTTGTACGTAGCACTTAGAATCATCGTGCCACTCCTCACTGCTTAAACACATTTAATAAACGAAATTGAAAGTGTATACCAACTTTTTTGGCAGTGTGGAATGGTCATGTTATGCCTACACTTTCTAGCAGTGTGTTATGACCATGTTTTGGACAGTGTGTTATGGTTCACAATACTTAGCTACACTTTGTGGCAGTGCGTTATTACGTCTATGTTCTGGAAGTGTATACCAACTTAAACATATTTTTTGACAGTGTGGAATGATCATTCTTTGGCAATGTGAGTACATGTTATATTGGGTATGATAACAATGTGTTATACCCATATTCTGGAAGAAGATGCCAACTTAAAAACATTTTTTGACAGTGCGGAACGCAAGGACAAATTTGGAATTGCATCCACACGAGTTCCAATATCCCATAGCAATGTTATACTCCCTTATTGACTTTTTGAAAATTTAAGGGAAGAATAGTTTGTGTTGACATTCTAAAAATACTCTTGATGTGATAGGTAAAAGTAAGATGCGATGTATAAATTATTAGTAAAAAGATATGATGTGATAGGTAGGGTATAAAAAAGTAAGGGGCAAAATGATTTTTAAATAGATAAGAGAATATTTTTTGGGGATAACAAAAAAATGAAAGAAAAGATCTTTTAGGGACAGAGGAAGTTTTAAGTATTTTAAACATATATTAGTGCTATGACGGTATTTCTCTCTTTTTAAATACTCCGTATGTAAATTTTGCTTTTATTCCTATACTAATATTTAAATAAAATGAATTGAAAAAACTTACTCCATCCGTCCCAAAAAGAATTTCCTACTTTGATTAACGTGCAAAATCTTGTGAATTTCAAAATGATTTTATTTTCAAATTGGTAAGGAAATAACACATAAAAAATTATATCCAAAAACTAACTACATCGAAAACTCTACAAAATAAGAGGTGACAATTCAAGAATATTTTATTTTATCAAATTATCAACGAAAGCACGTAAACAAATAAAAGTTATCGAGAGACCGTAATAGCAAAATAAAAGACTTTTTGAGACGCAGAAAGTAATATTTTGTCTCGTTTTTTAAAACGTGGTAAAAATTTAGGGATTGGAGAGTAAAAACTTTTGTATGGAACATAAGAGGAGAGTACTTCCCTCATGTTTGCTTATTTATGATGATGATGGTGTATTGCAGCATTGGGCAGCTTGCATGTGAAAATGACATATGCCATACCTCAAACATCTTATTAATAATGTCAAACCTTTAATTTGTGCACAACTGCATGCAACTCTGGAACAAACATCATTATTCATTATTCGACGACGACCCTGACCAGTTAATGCCGACTAGTTTTTCTGTAATTATGTACTGTACACATGTTTAAATATAATGAAGGCGTTCCATATATATATATATATATATATATATATATATATATATATATATATATATATATATATATATATATATATATATATATATATATATATATATATATATATATATATATATATATATATATATATAGAGCGTCTAAAATGACATCAGTTACTTATACACCAGTTCGTTTGGGATACCTACGGTGCTCCGTTTGTAAAAACGACGATTCCTACCCCCTAACCCTCCCCCTAAACCCTCCACCCCAGCCCCACCCTTGCCCCCCACCCCAGCCCCCCCTCCCTACCCCGGCAGTGCATAATAGCCACACATTTTGTGGGGGGTTACGGCGGGGTTGGGGTGGGGTAAGATGGGGGGTTTCGGGGGTGGGTTAGGGGGTAGAAACCGTCAACTTTACGGACGGAGCACCGGAGATGCCTCAAAAACCCAGTGGCACCGCTAGTGGCACCGTTCTCCGATGTCACTAGAACCGGGGCGATATACACACATAATGAAATGTTACCATGAATTAATTAACTCTCCATCTGTATATTATTGTCACTATGCACAATTTTGGACTAATCATAACCACCACTAATTAATTAATTAATTAATCACCATTTCTTAGCTTTGTCCTCATCTATTTCTTCTAGCTGGGTGTCCTCGTCTAACTTAATTATATATAGGCTAATGAGTTGTTATATTACACACCAATAACAATTGTCAATGTAATTGTTTTGCAGAATTGCCTATATATAGACAATTATACTGTATGTGTGAACAAATTTACAGACAGGGGACATCAATTCGTAGAAGATTAGTTTTTAGGGTACAAAAAATTTTTCTACATCGTCTTAACAGAATTTGAATTTTTGATCGATTCAATTTCTAAAGACAGTTGACATAATTTATGAAAAATCTTAATAACCCTTTTCTTTAGGGCATTGCTTGATTGAAACAAAAAAAAAGCCAAAATAGAAAAATCTTAGCTTCCAATTGATAGTTAAGTAACATTTGATTATGAAGCTACAAAGTCAATTGAGCAATGCTTTGGTTTCCAATAGATTGTTAACTAAAATTTTGAAAAATGTTGTTAACTGTTTTTCTAATGACAAATTGAAACCGACAATTTTTTATTCATTGAAAGATTATTAATATTTATTTGTATTGATGAATACCGAGTATAATTCTCCATTTTCAAAAAAAAATGTTTCTGCTTCGAATTAAATTTTAACTATATCTTTTTAAATATTTTTTTTTAAAATTTTCGTGAAGTTGGAATAGTGCTCTGGGAAGAAAGTTTTAGGACGGAGGGAGTAGTAAAAAGAGAATTATTGAAGGGAGAATGGATGAAAAACTACAAGCGATTTGGTTGGTTTGGATCTATTTTGGTAAGAGTAGGGAATGAAAAATGAATAGAAATATTGAAGAGAGAATGGATGAAAGGGTCTTGCCTTTGGAACTGGCACGACACGTACATTTTCATTTTGCAACCGTCTAAACCGCCATCGGATTATGGTGATGTTTAGGCTCAGCTCGAAAGTGCGTGGTCGTACATAGACTTGTCAAAAAAGGACTCGACCTGTTTTTGACCCGAGACCTGACCTGTTTTTGACCCGAGACCCGACCCGAAAATACCGGGTTTTGAACAAAGGTTTTGCTGACCGAACCCGAAGTTGACCGAACCCGAAATGACCCGCTAAAAATGACTCAAACCCGACCGAACCCGAAGTTGACCGAACCCGAAATGACCCGCTAAAAATGGCTCAAACCCAACCGAACCCAAACCCGACACGACTGACCCGCTAATCTAAGATTTTTTTAGAATCATATATTTTAATATGAAATATAGTGTTATAAAAATAAGATTATAATTATATTTCTTTGCTTACTACTCCTTTTTTGTGTATAGGTTTATACCATCATAACAAATTTTAATGATGTCGCATAATCATCTTACATTTTTTAAAAATTTTGACATATTTAATTTTTTTATTCGTAATATTGACACTAAGTCATAAAAATTACTTTAAATTTGAAAAAATAAATGAAACCCATAACCCGTTGGCCTGGGTAAACCCGAACCCAATGACACTGGGTCATGAATATGTAGTTATCAACCCGAACTTATCCGAACCCGAAGTAACCCAAACCCAAGGTGACCGAACCCGAACCCGGCCCGACCGACCAATTTGCCAGGTCTACTCGTACATAATAAGCCCATTTTGCTTCATTTTTCCAACAATAGAAAAAAAGATACTCCTTCCGTCCCGTTTTAAATCGTCTGTTTTGACTTTTGGGCATATTTAAGGAAAAAAAAATAATGTTGATTTTCCGAAATTACCATTACTTTTTAGGAGGGATGACGATGAATGAAAAGATAAGGTGGAGAAGAGTGACTAATGTTGTCTAAAATGTGTGTGAATTTGTTTTTTGACCATCTCATCAGCCTATACAATGTTGTTTTTTTGACCTATATATTTCTATTCTCCG